CCACTCATTAGCTCAGCCCCATGGCTCCCCCTCACTGCCAAGCCCCCAGCTGTCCAGAGAGCAAGTCATTATTTGAAAAGATTTCCCATTAAACCCGAAAGCAAAGGAATATTTCAAAGAAGGAGTGAGAGAGACAGTGAGGGTGCGTGCACGATTGCAATCAGCTCTCGAGGACATGCTGGAGCGGCTGGATCCCCATCTTGGAGCAAGCTGAGGATGAAGAAATCGATTTCATTAGCTCGCTCAGCTGCTGATTACTCTTGTGCCACATGAATCGCTCCCACAGCCCCCCACTCTCCAGCCTCTGCTGGTGGCAGGTACCTGCGTGTGCATGGCAAATGCACAACGGGCACCCCCTGGGTCCCACCCCACCCTGCTGGCCGCAGAGCAGCCCACCCAAATGCAATCCCAGCTCGTGCTAAAAATGCCTAAAGATTTCAATTTCCTGAAGTGGGTGCCTGCCTCCCCTTTGTGCCCAGGCGGCAGCTGCAGCCCAGCTATCAGGCTTTTAACCCAGCCGGTGCACACATCTTCGCTGCCCGTTTTCCTATTACCTGCTTTCTGCTCCTCGCTTTAGCGGAGACACCTCTTTAACCGCAGTGATTTACAGGCAGTGTTATGGCAGGACAGGTCTGACACTGATTGAGTTGCTTATCTGCCGTCTCTGTCCTGCTCGCTGACAGCCTCTCCCCCAGGTATCAATCTGCACATCAGTTCTTTATTCTTGGGTGAGGCAGGAGCTGTCAAGGTTGCAGCTACACTGTCATCTTCATCTAAGCTGCTAGCTGCTCTTCATCGCTTAAAGACCCTCTTTAACACATACACACGCTTTGGGAGGTGGCCACCGCGTTGGAGGTAAGGAGACGGCAGCAAAATTTCATTTGCTCTGGCAGTGCCCAGGGCTTGATGGATTGGCTCTTGTTTGTCAGGGTGCCTGTAAATAAACAAGAGTTTCCATGCTGTAGGTTCAGCCCCACTGCTTCTCCAGTCGGCTCCCTGCAGCCCTGCACTGGCTCCTGGCCAGCTGGTGCAGGGAGAGCGGCAGGGTGCTGGAACCCCTGCAAGATGCGAGGCTCACCCTGCGCCGGGGCCACCATCAGGGTGGCGGGACAAGGTGGAGAGAGGGTGGAGAAGACAAGCATGTGGGGGGTAGGCTTGGCTTTGGGGTTTGCCACGAGTCCCCACTGCCAGATGCCTCTTGTGACACCCACGGATGTGGCTGAAGCCAAACCAGAGAGGACTTTCCTGGTTTGGTCACTGCTCGCCATTTCAGGGCCATGGGACCAGGGCAGGGGCATGCTGGCACCCAGCACCTGCATCCTGGCAAGGTGCCTGTGCTGGGACGGTCTGGCCCCCTGCACACCTCCGAGGCTGGCTGGAAGGAGGCAGAGAGGGTGCAGGTTGCTCCCTGCGTGGTGCCTGTGCCGCCACGCTCTGAGTCACCCCCAGCCCTGTGAGCAGCCAGGGTGTCCCCACAGTGTCCCCCCTCAACCCTCATCCCCCTGGCTGGCCATTACTGTGCTATGTGGTTGCACTGCAAAGCCTTGACTGCACCTTTCTGCTCAGCACCGAGCTGTCTTAATCCTAAATGATGTTTTTCTTAGCCCAAAACTGCACTCCTTTCTGGGATCACTGGCAGCACTGCGCAGCGAGCGGCGCAGAGTGGCAGGAAGGGATCTGTGTCCGCTTTTGGCTTTGTGCTCAGGTGCTGCTCCTGGGCCAGAGCAGCTTCCAGCCATCCCTGGCTCCGGGAGGAGAGGCCGTGTCTGAGCGGGAGGACATGCGTGTGCGCAGGGTCTGTTACAGCCCTGCATCACCTCGGGGTGACAGGCAGCCCGGGCTGACCTCCCCAGGAGGACGGGCAGCGCGCAGCAAAGAAGGGCGGTGGGCACGGCCCCATGCGACTCCAGCCATGCCTCGGTTTCCCTGGGGGTGTCTGGCTGCCCATAGCCCTCTCAGTTCGGTTGTATTGTTGTTGCTCCCTAATAAATAAAAAAAGCCACTGAAACATAATCTCTACCATAATGTTTATTAAATAGTAATTTTAAAAGGTTTTTATACAAATCATATAAACACAGTTTGATTTTTTTTGTTGGTTTTTTTGTTTGTTTGTTTTGTTTTTTTTTTTACACCGAAGAATCACAGTAAAAGCTCTTTAAGTCCATAAGTCCTGGCTCAGCCAGTGAACGGTCAAATACCTTGAACTGCAAACCCTGGAGAAGTTCCATTTCTGCATATAATTTCTTAATGGTTTAATTCCCATGCTCACCCCCGGCACCTTCCCACAAAATTAAATCACCCAGCACTACAGCCTGCCCGGTAGCAACATGTCCTCGCCATGGGAAGGGTGTGGAGGCAACAGCCCATTTCAGCAATGGCATTAACATCAATTTCTTTTCCTTTTTTTTTTCTTTTCTGAATTTCACAGAGGGAATTGCGATTGGCAAACCTAATCTATTTGCAGAGGAGGATGCAATGAATTGAATGCACAGACGACTTTTTTTTTTTTCCCTGTTGAAGTTACAATCAAACTCAGTTTTCTGTAGAACAGTAAAGCACCCGGCAGAGGTAAGTGAGGTATCGGCTTTGCAGCATTTTTGGCCTGCTCCTGCCTGGCAAGCGCACGTGCATGGGCCCTGCCCCGTCTGGAAGGGGCAAGCAGGACACGCAGGGCGGATGCTTTGCTGGGCCCATGCCAAGTTAGTGCCAAGATCAGCAGTACTCTCCTGCCTCAGATCAAGAGATATATTAACACAAGTCAGTCCCACGGAATAAGTCACATACACGATACATACAGAGAATTCACGTGCGTGTGCAAACACACTATTTCTGAATATATGTATATACGAACTCTTCTCTCTGTACGCCTACTAGACACCATAACGCCACCTTTTTAATTATATATTTTCACCTATTGTTTGCCTAAGTCGACTTTTCTACTGTATGGTCCTTTTCCATTCATCCTTCCCCTCACCGGTGATTTGAAGGGGATAAAATCATCGAGCAGCAGCAACGCAGCTTTGAAATGGTCTGGTACATTTCCTCTTACTGCATCTGTTTCTTTTGTAAAGTAAAATAACACCCCGGGGTATTTGTCCATGAAGAATGCCAAGAGAAATAAGGTGATTCGAAAGGAGAATCTGAGATACATTTACTGCCGTTTCTGTTGGGCGTACAGTGTGAATTAAAAAAATGAAGGCCTTTGTGTGTGCGCATCTCTGTGTGTGCGTGTATGAACCCTGGATGTTTTGATGACACAGCTGCTGGCATCTGCTTCCCCGGTAGCACATGCGTCTTTCTTACAGTGGAGAAGTCTTTTTGTTTTCCTAAAAACTTACTGTCTGATGGAGCTTTTCATGAAACACTAGAGAAATGTTCCTATTCCCACTGCACCGAGGAGCAGCTGTGGCACTGTCCGTGCTCATCTCCTCTCCAGATGTTGCTCGTCTCCCCGAACACCTGGCCTCCTCCAGGATGTGTTTGCAGGGGCTGTGCAAACTGAGCTTCACAGCACATCACACCTTTGGTGCTCTGTGGTTAGTGAGGAAAAAAAATCCATCCCCAACCCAAACTATTTGCTAGGCGAAATGTAAAATCAGGACATGTCAGGTATTTCCAAAGAGCCCCTGGAAAAGCAAACCCAACATGCTGGAAAGGTTTCTCCCTTATACATGTGCAAGCTGGTAGGGGCGATCTGTCTGTACTAAATTGGAAATGAAGGCATTGGTTTGGGTCCCAGCATTTGAACTCTTTTTCTCCATTAAATTGTTTTCATAACACTCCTCTCCCACGGCACAGTGGTAAGTGGAGAGGTATCAGCTGCCAGACAATGTAGCCAGACCACTTGAAAGTAGAAGGACCAGAATTCTTCAGCCAGGCTCTACCCCGTAGAGAGCAGTGAAGAAGAGCATTTTGCCGGGGAAGGATGAAGGCCTCACTTCTTGTTTGATACAGCACTGATCATCAGATGGAGGAAAAATACTTCTTCTAAGGCACTTGTTCAAAGTAAAACAAAACACAGCTCATAAAGAAAACTTCGGGTTTTTGCTGCTGGTCAGGAGCAGCGCAGCTTTGCTCCGAAGGGGACAGGACGGCAGCCGTTTGGTCCATTGGTGCCGACAGCGCCAGTTTGCGCCCCCCAGCTCCAGGGAGAAGGGGAGCACCGTGAAGGCGAGGGGGGCCAGTGGGCCACGGGCTGGGCTCCCGTGGCTGTGGGCACGGCTCCAGCCTCCTTCCCTGCTCATTTTCCCTCCCTGGCACTTCGGAGAGGCCTCGGTGTTGTGCCTCAAGTCAAATCCCGAGTGAAGCCCCCTTCCCAAAGCCTTCACCTGAGGCCGGGAGCCTGACAGGCTCTATCTTTTGTTTGCTGCAATTTTCTCATTATAGCAAAAAAAAAGTAAAAAAAGAAAAAGGGCAGGATCAAGAGAGGTGGGAGATTCAAAGAAAGGCCTTCCTGATGAAGGCCTCAGCTGTTGCAATCCAAGATCTGGATTTAATAAATGGCTCTTATTCACAAATCACTTTAAGGCTCTTCAGCTTCTCTCAAAGAGGTGCTTCTACACATAGGGTTTCCTTTCTAGTTTATTTCGTAATGACTTCAGAAAGCACTGTTGTTACCATCAACACTGAAGCCTGTATCCCACCTTTCTTCCCTACTAGGAGAAGGAAAGTTGAAGGTAACAACATGCTTCCATTTTAAGGACTGGGAACTGCAGCTTCCTGGACTTCGTGTGAAGTGCACAAATCCCTACAGCCAAAAAGGTATCTGGATGGGGGTCTAAAATGGACAGGGTCTCCGTGTGTGTGTGTGTTATTTCTAAAGACAGGGTGGCTGAAGAAATCCCTCAGCCTTCTCAGCAACTCACCAGGGAAAGGAGGTGGGAAATAACGATCAACATTTAGTTTCTCACATCCAAAAGGTAAACCAGTCTCCCTCACCACGTCCCAGCCACTCACATCAGCAGAAAATGAAGATGAACCAACAAACAAGGGTCTCGGTTCCCCCTCGCTCAGCACAGTCCGGTTTGCGGGAACGCCCGCTCGGTCCTGGTGGAGCGCGACTCGCTGGCGGGACCTGGCGGCAGGAGCAGCGCCTCCCCTCGCTCCTCCCACGCCCCTCGTTCCCCATTATGGCACTCAGTTCCCATAGAAAACAGCAAAAAAAGTAACACCCCGCCAGCCCACCTCACCGGGCGCAACACCAAGGGTGATCCCCAGGGCACCCATCAGGCCTCTGAGCAGCACTTCTGGTGGTTCATCTTGACCTTGTGCTTGATGCCGTCGTACAGCTCAAAGTTGTAGTTCTCCAGCGTGGTGGAGCTCCGTGAGGACAGCCCCGCGTATGAGCACGTGCAGTAGAGGAGCAGACCAGCACAGATGGCCCCGAGGAGGACGCCGAGGGAGCTCATCGCTATGATGGTCACCAGGATGGGATCCAGGGTGTAGAGCCAGCTTTTTTCTTTGTCCAGCTTTGGGGTTCCTGGAGAGTTAGTAGAGAACAGTGTGTCGTTCCTATCCGATCCAAAGTAATCTGCAGTGGAATGGGCACTTATTATCCAGGGATCACTTTTTTCCCCCCACCTTTATTCATTTCTTACTTGGAGCTGTGATGGCCTTACAAGAGTATAAGCTCCCCCACAGGTATATCTCAGCTATATTCTCTAACCCAGGTCTAGAAGCACCAAACTACCAAGAAAGTTATGTGCAAGTTATGTGCCCAAGTTTTACATCTTGGGCTATGTAAATAGCATGCTAGCATTTTACACCCACTGAAACTCTGGCCCTTCAAGTGCCATTGAGTTCAAAACTATGGAAACAATCTGTCACAGCTCCCAGACTTAATTTTCTCCATTTACAAGTCAAAATGCCATGCAAGCAGCAATTAATGCTTGAAAGATCAGTTCCACTTGTCCTAACACAAATACAATATATTGACTTTGCAAGGTTGCTTGCTGTTGAAAAAGCAAAACAAGAAAAGAAAACTAAAGTCTTTGTCCAGGCACTGAGCCACCACTTGAGTGTACGTTCTCAAGAGTGTTCCTAGCTGCTAACCCCCATTAAAGCTGAGGTTTGTGAGTAATTGTAGCGTCTGATACTGAAACAGGCCCCCCCCAGATAAATTGCCCATGTGGCATTTGGGTACCAACCTGGATCATCGTTGTCTTCAAAGTCTTGCTCAGAGATTGGAAAGTCATCCTCCATTCTTGGGAAGTTCACTAGAACAACAAAATGGGAAGCACTGTTTGTTTAAAGAGGCCTTTCGGGGGCATTATTGCCACTGGTCACTGGATTGTGAGACTGGCCAGAAGAAAGCAACAGTTGAACTACTGCAAGGCTCTTCCTCATGGAAGGAGGAAGAACTCTTCCTTTGGCCAAAATCAATGAAGACTCTTGCACACTTGAGAGAACAGGATCTGCCTACTATATCACATTTCACGACCACCGAATGACCAGCTTTTAAGAAGAAAAGAGAGTGAGAGAAAAGCAAAGAAACTGGTAACTTGAATAGCACTAAAATATTGTCATTGGTGCCTGCATAATGGCCATAATTCACTATTAACATGCTCATGGGTATTATCCTTACAACTTTGAATAGGATCTTAGTGCCTATCATTACTTGCCACTAATGCGAGATCCATTTAGCACACTCTACTTTTCATCTTTTCCCATACATCTTACTGGACACAGAGCTTCAATGACCCAGTTTCTCTTTGGGTTTCAGATAAATTCATAGTAATTTGAGGGAAGAAGTCATGTATCATCATTGTATGTTTTAATGTAAAAGCTGGTTGAAATGGGGAGAGCGGCAAATGGGTGTCCATATCTAGGCATTTATGTTAACATTTCTCTGATCCAAATTCCTTTTAGTGGTGACATTTCTTTTTATTGTTCAGCACAGATCAAGCACTAGTAACCAAATGCACATGCTGTAATCTGAGCAGAAGAAAGTTATTTTCCTGTGCAGTCTTCCTAGCATTATCTCTACTTACAATGTTTTCAGTTTTTTCCAAAAGAAAATGCCCTTTCATTTTGATCTGCTTAGATTTTTCAAAGCTGACTGTAACTTGGGGTGCTCAACTGAGAAGGCACCTCAAAATGATCAGGAATGCAGAAAATCAGGGACTACTAGAAAGCAGTAGAAGTCACACCTTTGAAATAGTTGTGGTTGAAAACATCTTGTGCAAAAACCCGCAAGAAGACTTTTAAGAGATCACATAAAACCAACCAAAACCAAAGAATGTAACTTGTGCCTAAAAAGCCACATGCAAAGAAATGATTCAAAACCTTATAAAAGAATATTTGTGCATATTTGCACAGAGATATAGGGCTGCAAAAGGCCTCCTGAATCGTCAAGTCTATTTTTTTGCTATCCCAGGCAATGGTATCAGGCAATTCCTGCCAGCGACATTTCAAGGTTCACTTCCAGAGCAGGGGGCTCTGCTGAATGCCATGCCACCTCAATACCACCTCACACCTGACTGCAGTGATTCTCCGTGCTGGTACTGATGATACTTTCCCAACTACCCATTCTTTGGGCAGAATTGTCTTTTGCCCTCCGCACTCAAAGGATTAAGGGATTTCTTTGAATTTTCAAGCGAACCTGGCAACAGGAACACACAAAACCCAACACTTGCCCCTCCTAACGATGAGCTCTGCAGCTAGTGAGCCAGGTAATTAAGCTGGCTCAAGGATGCTGGTAGCTTGTTGAAGAAACATAGGTGCACACCATCTTCTGTAAATCCTCACTTTAGCAGCAAGTTCACATGATTTCTCAACACTTCCAGAACTGACAGGCCCAGATGGCAACATCTTAGGGCTGGGAGAACTGCCTGAGGGCCTCTTGCAAACATTTAGAGCCGAACATGTGGAAAAATAACTTGCAAAGCAGTTCACACACGGAGATGTCTGCTTTGCTAGTCCTCCGTCAGAAGACAAGCAGTGAAATTTGCCATCCATGTCACCCACACAACCCTACGGAAACTGTAGGTTGCTCGAACACGAGCAAAGGTGGAAATTGGACCACAGTCTGCTCAAGGAGCCCATGTGTGGGCAAAGGCTGTTGGAAATCTTTTGCCTTTCCATATTGTAGCTCCTCTAAATTTTGTGTGAGAACAAGCCAGCAAATTGGTGCTTTTTCATTTCCCAGGGTAGCCTTGAGGAAAAAGCCAGAAAAAACAAAGTATCGGTTAATCAACACTTTCAAAAGAACACCAGTTCTTCCAGCCTGAAAGGAAGGAGCGCTGGGAAAACTTGAAAAGAGAGAACATTTGAACAAAAAGCCCAGCCCAAAATCTATATACTCTTCTAGCAATTTTCTCAGTTCCCCACGCTAATATGACTCCAAGTCCTGCTTAAATGATATCTTCCTCCTTGCCCATTGTCCTTCCTCCTCAGGCCTGTGGCAGGCCCTTATTCTTCTGTTCCCCGCACGCCATTTCATTGCTATCAGATTGTATGTTGTCACGCAGAGCTCTATGCTGGCTTTGGAAAAATACAACTCGACGTTTCTTTTTCCATACTGGGGTTTCTCGAGTCATTAACAAAATCAGCTCTGGCTGTGTGGCTGTCTGTGGGAATTGAAGCTGGTGGTCTCAGTTCAGTTCCTAGTGGAGATGATTTCCCGTCACTGAAACTAGCCTGCTATTTGTCATCAATTAGGCTCCTTTGTGACAAATCTGAGCAATATTGTCACAAGTGGAGCAGGCTTTGGAAAGTGACCCCCTGGGAAAGCAGTGCCCAGAAAAGCCCTGCAAGCTGCTGGGCAGAATGGGAGAAACAGCCCTGTGCTGTGGAGAGCTGCTTCCTTAAAGGGCAGCTTTCAGGAGCAATTTCCTTTGCATTTTAAAAGGACAAAAAATATACTGGAGAAGGGTAGACAAGAAAGTTAGGGGCAACTGTATTTGAACAGGAGGAGAGCTTTCTCCGGAGTGAAAGGCCCTTTTTAAAGCGTGTGTGCTGAATGACAGCTGTGAGCACCTAGCCGGTCACGCCCAAAAGATGATGTTAGCGATGCTGTTGGAAACGGCCAGATGCTGAGAAAAGGCTGTTATCTGTTGGATCTGAGAGCACTGCCAGCTAAAAGGCTAATTTATGGGACCTGAAAAAAGAAAGATGAGATTCTAATCAAAGACAAGGAGCAACTTAAGTACCATGTTCGTATGAACTCACATAGAGGGAGAGCAGGAGAGAATTAGTATTTGCAGAGATTAAGGAGCTTTAATGTACATCTGTTTTAAAATAGCAAGGGCAGGAGGGATTGGGACAGGGAGTGGGTTACTGGAAGGGGGGGGGGGATGTGTGGTCGATACGCCTTGCCAGGGCAGACAGGGGAGGCACAAGAGCACACGAGGTTCTCCGGCGTCCCACCACAGACATACATGTGCCTCTTGCAGGAAAGCTCTCCAATCTTGCCCAAGGCAGCTCACCTCTGCAAAGCTGAGGTCAGTGCATCATATGGACTGGCATGTACTTCCCGCCACCCCACATGCTCAATGCCAGCCTGCCTGCACAGGCTTACCAGCAGTGCCCACCGCCTTAGGCAGAGAACTTTGCACCAAGCCAAGAGCTATTGCTTTGGAGAGGACACCCAGTTCCAATTGCTGGAGCATAGACACATTCCTCCAAGGCAAATGACCACCATCGAGAAAAAAATTGCTGTTTCTTTCTAGACTGACTTTGTCTGGTTTAAGTCCGGGCACCGAGCGCTGCCTCCTGCCAGGTCCCTCCATCCCAGGGTGGAGCTTTATCACCATGCATCTCTCTACACACAGGCATTTGCAGATGGTGGCTGCGGCACCTCTTGGGTTCTTTCTAGGTGAACAAAATGAGCCTCTCAGCAGGAGGTGCCTTTCCCAAACGATATACCAAACTTGCAGCAATTTCCAGCCCTTTTTGTTGCTTGCCCACAGCCTCTCTGGCGCAGGGGAGCCTGGCTTGGAGAGTGCCCAGGATGCACTCCTGCCATCCCTGTGCTCCTGCTCCCCACTTCCCGCAGGGGTCTGCGGGATCTGGGGCCGAAGGGGATGCACCAGGTGACGGTGGCTTGTGGGCTCTGCCACCTACCATCTTTCACTCCCCAGTAACATCTGTGGCTGTGCCTGCTGGTACAAAAGAGGGGTAGCCAACTGCCCTCTGGTCCTTTCCACAGTGGGGAAACAACCATGTGCTGCTCACTTCCCTGCAAACAGCAGGTGCCTTCCTACGTGCTCACCCCTCTCTCCTGCTGCCACAACAGCCATCTCGGCTGGTGCTACCCTGCTCAGCAAGGGGAGTGTCGGAGGTGCACAGCTGCTCTGCTGCCAAACAGCACCCATGAGGGCCTGAAACATTAAATCCAGCTAAGCCCAGGAAAACGGGGTCAGAAATTACCGCTCCCCAGCCTTGGCAGAGAGAGGCAGAGCTCCAGCTCTGCTCTGCTCCTCGCTTTTCTCCCTTTGCTCATTCCCAGCCCTTTTCTCTCTGCAGCAATAGCGTGACTCCAACACACATCATTTTGTTTTGACATAGCAGAGCAGCCGCTGTGGCCTCGCCTTGACACTGCTCCGTTTGGCGGCGGTGGCGGCGCAGCGCTGTTCCTCCGGCTGGGAGCCCCGGCGGCTGGGGGGGGCAACACGTCCCACCCTCGATGCACGGGGAAGCGCTTCTCAAAGCAGCAGCACAGGCACCAGGCAGAAACACTCCCTCTGAATCCCCCATCGCTCTGTTTCCAGCTGAAAATCCTCCTTACTTCTCTCTTCCCCGCTCCTCCAGAAACAAAGAACTATTTTAGTTTACAAAAGGGCTAAACCCCTTCCAAATTTCAAATTAAAACAGTGCTTTGGCTACAGCTGAGCATTAAAGAAAGCAAACAAGCAGCCTCTCCCCTGACCCAGCGGCCCTCTGCAGCGCGGGAACCCCGGGACCTTATCCTTAGATTGCCTCGGGGCTGCCCCAGCAGCGGTGCACCCCGTGGCACCATCTTCAAATCGGGTGGCACCGAGGAGCCTCTTGGGTTCCTTGGGCTTCCCGTACACAGAGAGGATGGGGAAGCGCGGCTGGGCAGGTGAAAACCCCCACCTAAAGCACTCGGAGATGTGAAGCTGGGCTGGGCGCTTGGTGCGGAGGCGAATGCGAGCAGGCAGCTATTTCCAGCCCTGGCGCTGCCCTCCGACGCGTGGCACCCTGCCCTCGCTGCATGCATGGCAGATGGCCAAGGTGGCTGCCCAGATCAGGGACT